CCGTCTCTCCCCTCGGAAGCGTAATTTCGCCAACCAACCTCCTCTCATCAGCCGCTGAGCAAGCCCTGGAAAGATCTGGAAGGAAAGTGGCGTGGTGATGTAGAGTTGCGTCACGTGTCGCGGATGGCCCTCGAAACGTCTCGCTCTTTCCCCAGCCTTGGTTGTGCATCGCGCCAACGAAACGATTAGACTTTTCTGAAATCTAGCCCGAAAGGTCTTTAAGCGAGCAGCGGAGAAGGGAGATCAGGAGAAAAAGGAAGTTTGCGCCAATGTGCGTAAGGTCTTTCCGCCGTGTTGGCGAATGACTGAATAAGTTTTTGAACTTTTTAGTCTTTAGGTGTTCGACGCATTGTAGCGCATATTGTTGTTTATGTCCGTTGTTTTGGGTGTAGCTGATTGTACTGTGTTGGACTTTGTTTGATGGGTGACGTATCGTATTCAACTATTGTCGAGTGTGCATATTTGTGTATCGTTTGATCTGCCATGTTAGAGAATATAATTTTGTTTTGTTTATCAACTCTAGACTTTGACTCGTTCTTTGGGCCACAGCCGGCGTCCGCTGGTGCATTGAATAGGACCACTTCTAAATTATCCGCGCTTTTGTGGTACAGTTCGGGGGGGGGGGGGGGGGCGATACTTCAGCCCTTGAAATTAGCCCGACGATCGCCTCCCTAATTAACGGGACCTGTGACCCCGCTATGTATTTTAGGCGAAGTTTATGTACCATTTTATCCATAATCATAACAGCTGCAGTAATTATTTTACTATTAATGGGATCATGAGCCATTCCTATTGTTACCAAAGCAGGCTTTACACTGAATCATCATCATCATCAGCCTGACTACGTCCACTGCAGGACAAAGGCCTCTTCCATGTTCCGCCAGTTAACCCGGTCCTGTGCTTGCTGCTGCCAATTTATACCCGCATACTTCTTAATCTCATCTGCCCACCTAACCTTCTGTCTCCCCCTAACCCGCTTCCCTTCTCTGGGAATCCAGTCAGTTACCCTTAATGACCAGCGGTTATCCTGTCTACGCGCTACAGGCCCTGCCCATGTCCATTTCTTCTTCTTGATTTCAGCTATGATATCTTTAACCCCCGTTTGTTCCCTAATCCACTCTAAGTTACTGTGGTTTTTTTCCCGCAACGCCACGTAGTGGGTGCGTAGCGTGTTGGAAAAGATTTCACGCGCACAATCGTCTCTGGTTTAAGCCGTGCCACCAATTACACAGAATGCAGCCGCATGCGAAAGCTTCACTGGAACAAGCCAATTACAAACACTGTAAGTAGTAGTGACATGATATCGCTGTCGCTTGCAACTCTTAGAGGCAGAGCTTGAGTGCCTCCAACTTTTGTTGCTGAAAAACGAAATTTCACTTCTTGTGGCTTTTTTTTTTCCAGCGTGATGCAGTGGGGTGATAAAGCTCAACATTCACTTCCCAAGTTGAGGCAGAATTGAACATTTAGTGAATGTGGCCACCGATATCTACTTGCAAAAGGCCACCTACAGGTTTGCTTGTTCGCATGGTGTGACTGTGCTTTTTTTTTCGTACCCCCAACTTGACGACCAACCCACGACTTCCATGCAGTTGAGCGCATAAGTTGCCGAGGAAATCGGAAGAGCAAAATATTGACTTCACCTGGTAGCAACTCTCATATTATCTCCGTGTACTAACGCAAGTATTGGAAACATTGCCTCGTATACTGTTGCTCACCTATCATACTTTGATCAAGAATTCAAAACTTACTACCACAGCCCAAATCCCGAAAGAGTTGTGCTGCATGATCTCGAAGGCTGTACTTTTATATGCATTGCGCAGAACTGCATAAACTACAGCATATTACGAATTTTATTAAAGGTACTGTACTTCTAAGTAAAATATACACAATAAACGAAAATAACCAGAAATAAGCTCAAAACCGGGGTAAACCACTTGTCCTCTGGTGAACTACCTTTTCTGAGTTTTTTTTTTTAACCTCCTACCAGTCGAAGTAAAAATTTACTCTCGTGCTAACTGAGTTTTTGAACGTAGGAAGGGTAGTAATTATTTAGGTTTTGAGCGAGTATAGAGAGAGTAACTTTTTACTGCCTTCACAAGGTTTTTGAGGTGATTTCTGGGAGTCATTTCAGGTGGTAAAGAACTTAAAGTTGACGAGTGCATTTGCCCAAAAAGCCAAAAAAGTTATTAATTATCAAATGACGGCAGAAATGATGACACATAGATTACCATACAAACAAACACACACATAAAACGAATGCAGAATGAAACACCACTTCAACACACTGCATGCGTAACTCAACTGTACTTTGACAATCCGGTATATATATGCACGACTTTTTGACCTGCCGTAAAGTGCCGGTGGGAGAGCTGTTTTTTGCATCGATTAACAATAACGGTTAAACGTGCAAGCATAAATTTCAGGTGGGCTGCAGGTCGCTAGGAGTCACACTGACCTTTCATTATAAACCCACCCGATCTCACATTTTTGAATATTCAATAGTCAGCTCACACACCGGCCTGTCGGCCCCACTCTTGTTCACACTGCTGATGCACATGTCCATAAAATATACCTTCGTACACACAGACCGCGGCAGCTCAATGGTTTTCATTGAGTGGTGGTGCACAGACACAGTAACGGCACGTATTCATGACAACGGGCGTAGCATAGCGGTGCACGCCTGTACACAAGCTTCTTACCGACGGCGTGCTTGACATTTTCGAGGAACATGGCTATGCGATGAACGACAACTGGTGATCGCAGAATAGACCTCCTGTGCGAATTTCGTAATCATTTCGGACTGCGAAATTCGGGCTGCACTTTACTCCAGTAGACATCGTCTTTTGTGGAACAAAATATATGCGATGCTTCTTTTACCTGCCCCCGCGACGCACTCACACTGGCCGGCTTCGTGCCGACGACATAGTGAAGCGTTTTGCCTATCGCTTCTCTAGGAAGCAACCACGGACGATGACACTAGCTTGATTTTGTTAGCGCTGGCAGCTCTTCGCGATTCGGCACGGAAGAGAGGTATCCCCGACAGGTTCGGAGGCTCGCGCTCGGAAGCGCACGGTCGCTCCATGATGTTGGAAACACGCGAGATCCATTAGCTCAACCACACACACAGATCCCGAGCTTCTTGCACCGTCTGTCTCCAGGACCGCTACACAGCAGAAGCCAACGATTTGCGAAAATATGCTAAACTTTACACAGCTGGCTTTTTTTTTTTTTTGAGTGAGCCTCATTTTTTTTTTCGTTCACAGAATGTTTTCCTCGCTTGTTGTGCTTATGCTGCTCCCAGTTCCAGTGAAGGTGCGTTGACTCGAGGTCCGGCATGAGGCGCGACGATGCCGTACCAAACTTTGAAAAAAAAAAAAACGTCTGAGGTCCTCGCATACATTCACGATTCAGTGAGAGCGTCAGTCACGGGGTTTTGGGCCAAAAGCCGCCGAAACAACTGCCGCTCGCAGTCACGTGGTAATAAACTCTGGAACGCAGATTAAAAATCACGTAATAGAAAACTCTCAACGAGGTAAAACTGTATTTTGACATGCTTTTACTACGTACCTCCTATAGATGGTGGTTATACTATGTCATGTACCGCCTTTTACTCCAACACGAGGTAGTAATTTTTAACGCGAGAGAGTTTTCAGAGGTCATGAGCCGTGAAAACCCCAAACTCGGATAGTTTTTGCTTACAGGGTGGCTTTTAAAACAGCGATATATAGAAATGTTTAATTTCATCCCCGATATGCGCACTGTGCCAAATATGACACGCACCAATTTCCGGCTGAAGAATACAGCGTAAAAGTTAGAAAATGTAATCACAGGCTTGAGTTTGTAACGTCATAGATATGCCGAAATACTTTTTGTGTGCTTCTGCGGTGCAACAAGGTTACGAGAAAATAGCAAGCGCCGCTGTTCGCATGCTGAACTTGCATGAGCAGTGTGGAATATTTCACATCTCTTTTTCATTATTACTTCACGGACGTCAGAAGAGCACATAAAAATTTTTTCCTATAGTGCCATGCAATCTCTGATAGGTCTTTTGATAATTAATATGTGTGGGTTAACTTCCCGAAACCACCATATGACTATGAGATATGCCGTATATAGTGGAAAGCTCCGGAAATTTCCACCAGCCGGGGTTCTTTAGCGTGCACCCATATCAGAGCAAACAGGGCCTACAGCATTTTCGCCTCCATCGAAAATGCCGCCGCCACCGCCCGGATTTGATCCCGTGACCTGCGGGTCCAGCTATAGGTCTCTTGCGGCTTCAATAAAAAGTGTTAGTTGCTACGTGCCAAATTTAGAATGATATGCAACAAACTGAAGTGCACGAGCCTTAGCATTTTACACTCATCAAGATTCAGCCGCCATGGCCGCGATGTGATCAGAAGTCGTACATCATGACCACAAACCTAGGTGGCGGATGCTGTACCGAACATATCACGAATTTGGAAACATCCTTCGAATGCATGCGATCAAAGCACGTTCAAGAAACTATCATACTCGCAATGTCAGAGTGTTTGGGCAAAAATTTCTGTCAATCTATGTTTTCAGAGACGCCACAGCATACCAAAGTACTCCATGGATGACAGCCTTACGACATAGATAATTTCATAAGATTAGCTATGATATATCACAAATCGAAGATTAACCTTGCCAGATATAATTTCCTATATTTAACTCGCCGACAGAGAGCCTACTTCAATTAAATGTGTTTTGTATGTGAACAAAAACTTGCCTGAAGTAATTGAAAATCAACATTAGCGCAGCATTTGCGCATTTTTACGCAGGAAGCCAATCGAGCAACGCATTTCAAGTGCGAAACGTTACGCATATATTGATTAGCCTTTGATGAAAAACACAACCCGTACGTTACACGACGAAATAATCTAAATTAAACGTTTTTCCTCCAACAGAGCATGCCTCAGCAAGGTGGAGGGCCTCTCTAAACGCGAGGCAACAATACGCTGTCACCGAAAAGACGGCGCGCTTCATGACTGGCCAGATCGGAAATACCGCGGTGCGTCTCCGTCAACCCTAGTTTGGCCCACGGGTAGACCCCAGAAGTTGCACTTCTCCGGAAAGACGCCGTCGGGCTGCGAGCACCCGAACGCGTCGGAAAACTCCATGAGGTGCGTAAGCGGCACGTTACACCTCTTCTCGTCAGTGCTGTACAGGCCGCGCCGCCCTCTGCGACCCCGCCGGGAACCCCCGCCGTCCACGTTGTCCGGCGAGCACAGCTTGAAGCAGTAGTTGAGGAAGAACAGCTGTTCTCCCGAGAACTCCAGGAAAGTGGGCGTCTGGCCTCGCTCCCGAATGTACGACCGGTACCGGTACGCCCCCAGGGCCGCCGGGAGCGAGGCGAAGTCGGCGACGTCTTCTACGGTGATGTCGACGTCACCCCCACCACCATTTCCGTAGGCCTGTGCCAGGCACCCGACTCTGTTATGGTACTCGACGAGAACGTCGGGAGACCACCAGGGCCGGAGCCTGCCTCGGGCGTCCCTCTCCTTGCCCCGCTCGTCGAAGCCGTGCATAACTTCGTGGCCCACGACGGCACCGAGGCCTCCGTAGCTGAACGCGGTCCACCTCTTCTCGTCGAGGTACGGCGGTTGCATGATGGCGGCGCCCACGAACATGGCGTTCAGCTCGCGCTCGTAGAAGGCGTTCACCTCGAGCGGGTTGAAGTCCCGAGTGGCCACGTGAACGCCCGCGGTGAAGCTGGTGAGAAAGAGTCGTGTCGCGGAGCGGGCGGCGCTCAGCGACGTGGAGAGGAAGTCGGCCTGGATGGCGAAGTCCGCGTAGTGCTGGTCCAGGGCGTCCTCGTCGACGAGGTAGGATGGCTTGGCGAGCACTTCGTCCATGGTACGAATCTTGGCCTCAGCGGCGCTGCGAGTGGGCTCGTCCATCCACGGAGTGTTGGCAAAGATGGCGCTGAACTCCCGTCGGACGTCCTTGGCGATCTTCTTTGCCAAGATCTGTGAGTCGAGCGAGATGCGGGCGATATATGGGAAATCAACGTGAACGATCAGTTGACTGAACGTATACGGCAACCTAAGTTCACAGGGTAGAGTACAAGGATATGTCTAAGAAGACGCCGAAGACATGTCTCCTAGGCCCAGATTTAACCAGCATGTACGGAAAAGTTTATAACTTAGGAAAAAGAACCACCTGGCAACTATAAATAACATGGGTCTATTGCTGCTTTAAACCCCACACATAACTGAAATTCGTTTTGTCATTTACCATTATCGAATCAATACGAAAATTTCCTTTCGGAATAAAAGCTATTTCCTCTCATATACGTTAATATTCACAATATACCGACAACATGGCTCCTACCGCACGAAGAAGATAAGCGAGAAAATGCGCGAAAAGGTCCCGCACCAGCTCACCGTTACGTCCGATTTCGTCAAGGGTGTTTGCTAAAACCTATGTAATTGTTCATTAGTAAAAACTGCTTATGTTCTGAGAAACCCATAGTCTAAACATAGGAAGTTTCAGTACATTTTAGTCTACCAATGCCTCCGAAAATGCCAATGACTAAAATGCGTGACTTCACACTGACCTTCATGCTCTAGAGTTCCTTGCGCGAAATTCAAACATAGAACTTTAACATTCGATCGCTTCTAGCTGTAATCGGGCCTCGTGATGGAAAAACTATTGACGACTTGACTAATGACTAACCGTTTCAGTCTTTAACATTATTTAACATTAGTACCGACTAACACCTGCTTTAACGCTTATTAATAGATGGCGTTCGTACCAGATACGAGGTGTGATTACCATTCTGGAGATCGCGTAATTTAAAATGCAAGGAAAAGATCAACTGGCAGAGTGGAAGCTGCCACCCCTCACCTCAGCATCTGGCGTCGGAGTGTTGTTGAGAAACGGGTACGCGGCCGCCAGCGGCATGACATCGACGACGCGTCGGAAGCAGTCGCGCACATAGCTCGGTTTGTCCTTGAAGACGAAGGTTGCCGCCTTGTAAGACGCTCGCGGAGCCAACTGTCGAAGCAGGGTCCAACCGAGGAACATGGGCACCATGAAGGGGTCGTCTTCACGTCTCAGCAATTTCCCAACCTCTTGCAACGCGGCGGCGTTCTCGACCTTGACGTGGTGGTCACGCTCGACTCGCGTGTACGGCTTAATCTGCTTGTTCACAGCGTCCACCCAGACCTGCGGGTCGATGTCTGGAACGAGCGTCGGCAAGTCGTCGTAAGTTATGGCCTGTGCCGGCTCCTCTTCCGTCCTCAGGGCGGCTATGATGTGTGAGTCCGCGTCCGTAATCTTGGCGGACAATGCTTCGGCTTCGGAAGGCCGGAACTCCGGCAGAGCCTGCAGTAGGATGAGGAAAAACTCTTCCAGCTTGCCCGAGTCCCGCAGGATGTTTCTCCACTGAAGCCACGAGATGAGCCCAACGTTCCTGCTGATTTCGACGGTTAGGCGTCCACCGTCCTCATCATAGTCAATAAAAAGGTCGACTGTGAACAAGACGTGTATCTTCCAGGTCAGCGACAGCTCGACCATGGAGGCCACCAAGGATGGAGGGTCCTGAGCTTCCACATAGGGAAACCCAGTGTACAGCTTCATGAACTCGGCCAGCTTGTCCGTCTCGGACTTCCTGTCGGTGACGACCTTCGTACAGGACTCGAACATTCCATACGCTTTTAGCACGGCCGAGTACCCCATACTGCGAGTCGAGCCAGACTCCAGTGGCACCGCTCGTCTCACCAGAAACGGGTGTTCTCGCTGTCTCACGCTTTGCCCCAGCAGCGAGTGAGACGACATGCTGTCGTTTCGCGAGAGCTGAGCTACGTCGGGAGCAGCGGAGCGGACGACGAGTTTTCTAGCCGGTGACTTCGCTTCCCGGGCTTCCTTGGCTGCACGTTCGAGGGCCTCCTGCGCGTCGAGCATGGTCTCTTCAGCCACCTTGTCGGCAATGCTCCGGTGACTGTGTGAGTGGTCCCGAATCCAGCCATCGCAGACGAAGCGGTAGAAGTTGTCGCACGGGTGAACGCTGCGCGTGATGGATGCTTCGAGCAAGCGCGTGAAGTTGGCGCTCTTGCGACCGCTGGTTTCCGTGGTGGGTTCGTAGAACAGCAAGTACCAGGCCAAGGTCGCGACGAGGGCAACGACGCATACCAGTCCGAAGGCAACCAGGCAGAGCTCGGTGTAGTCTGCGGTGACGAATTCCGCATCCGTCTCGGAGAAGGTGCTGTCAGTGGTGTCCCCCGAATCCTCTTGGGCCATGGCCCAAGATGGCGAACACGACGCGGGCGTTGGCTCAAAGCAGGCTTCGGTATCTGGGGAACGCAGTTCCACGAAGGAAGCTGTGGAGTCGTTCTATATTTCTTTGTCTCCGACGCAGCCACGTCTAGCTTGAACGTCGAGAAGCTCAGTGCGGCCCATTAGTGAACGCGACGCAAAAGACAGGCTTGTCTCATTCCGTCCAATCGCGGATCTGCGAGGCCTAGCTCCAGAAATGCTCTGGAAGGTCGCGTAAGACGAGATGCTGATGATGCTAATGCCCGCGTGCCAAAGCGATATCGCATGTTCCAACGAAGAAGATGGTTTAAATGAAAACATCCAATTGAATTAATGTGCTTAGCTCCAACTTCGCAATTTACGATTATAAATTTTTATTCCTTATGCTGAATCTTATAAATAGTCATAGGGCTCATGTGGGTTTGTTTTATTTTGAATTGTACTGATTTTTCTTACAATCCACACGATGGGTTTGAGCCAGTAACGTGAACTAATCATCTATATCATACCAATTCGTGTAACAATGGCAACACTACTAAAGAGGAAATAACGCGAAGGAAGAAAAATATAGTCAACAAAATTTTGTTTTGCGTGGCGCGGTACTCGTGGGGAGCACATACAAGGGTACGAATACGCCAAAACTTTGTTTCATTGTGGCGTAGACATTATTAAAAATGCCAAGTAAGCATTTTATAAACAAATTTCTACGTTTCAAAATCGGGTCACTCCTGTAGTATGAAAATAACGTATGAACTGGCGAAGTGAACTAATCAATAGACAATTATTTATTTATTAATTGTACAATTAAATCAATATTGCTACGCCTATAAAATATATCTAATCATTTGTAATGTGTAAGACTCGTTCAATTGTCCTCCTGCTTTGTGTTCTACAGAGACTCCAGAAGAGGAGTGATAACATCCTTTATGTGTAACTTGGCGACACATTTTTTTTTCTTCTCGGCAGAGGGGTGGCGAGGCTTGACACGCACGACAAATGAATCTCTTCGGAGGGCGCGGGGAGGCGAGGAAAGTATGCATTTTGTACCTCCTATGCTTGCTTAAGGGGGCAGGTGTAATTGGGGGCTATATAGCAACCGACCAGAAAGAAAAGACGCAGCGTCCCCTGTCGTACATGGCGCCTTCGCTGCTTATTATGGCCTAGTGCAAAAGTGGCTAGTTGCCTTCAGCCCGAGAGCGAACTCAATTAAGTTATGCTCAAGTTTTCGTTACAGATTCAATGAAATCCCCCCTCCCACCCTAATGTTCAATAAATTCAATACGGCTCATCATCATCGTGACTGTCATCCTCCTCCTCTTTGATGGCTCAAGGCAAGCAAGCAGCTTTGATGGCTCAAGCCATATTGCACTGTACAGTTGCACAACTAAACTATTACCTTCACAAAGCTCGACACAAGGCGTTACCGCTGTGCATTTTTTGCAACGAAATTGAAACAACTGAGTATTTTTTTATTCTAACGCCGTTACTCTTGTCAAAGAAAAATATTTATAGAAGCCCCATTACAGAAGTTAGGAATACAAGTACCAGTACTTTATCACTTGGCGGCACTTCATTTCGTTACTGCCACCGGGGTATATGCTCCACTGTGTTTGACTACATCAATGCAACTAAAAGATTACCATGCTAGTGAACCCTAACCTTTTCAGACCTTAGGTGTATAATTCGTAGCTATGTCTGTCAGGAAGAAGAGATGGTTTGACCGCTTGCTCAGCAACCATTTTTGTTTATTGGCAGTTTTATCTCTATACAAATTTTTCAGATTGGTTTTAATTTCATTTTAGTTTCATATAAGTATCCTGCCGCCCGGTTCATAGTCCATCCCCCTCTGTGGGTGAGCGCCATCCATCCGAGGTCATCAGCATCAGCATCAGCATCAAACAGCTGGCCTGATCATGCGGAGTGGAAACATAAAGAAGACAAGGTTTCTGAAGAGTCGCATCAAAAGGCGGCGTGAGGAATCCACTCTCGACGAAAGGTAGTGTACGTTCTTGCTTAGCGAACGGCATCCACCGTGAAATTGCCTCATTCCACAGTTTCGTCACGCGAAAAAAAAAACTTCGAAACTGTGGCAATCGTTGCAGAATCTGCATTTTCCACTTGCGCTACAATTAATCAAACTGGCGTAAATGCATTCAATTGCGGTTTTGTTGCGGGACACGTGCTTTGGCATATAGCTTGAAAAAATACTTCCATAAAACTATGGCATTTCAGTCCACTTTATTTTATGAATTGGTAAAACCAACGAAAGCATGGGATCCAATGTCCCCTGTGACTTCTCTCTTTTTTTTGGGGGGGGGGGGGAGGGGGGTTCAGTTGTACGCAGGATCCGTAGTGTGCCTGTTGTAAGCAGCCCATATGAAGTTTTTCATGAGGAATGATGTCCAAAAGTAAGATGTGGGCCGTAGATCCACAGAAGACCACATCAAGGGGAAATAGCTCTGAATAGTTCCACATATGACTAGCTTACTCGGCAACAACTTTGCTTGGCAGTACTGTGGAAGCTACAGAACTGAACCGCAGGTCGGCTACCACGCCTAAAGAAAGTATACTTCAGTTGATTGATAACTTTCTCATTTCTTTTGCTGAAATAAATATTGATTAATTATGAATTCCCAACACTTGCAGGACCTCGTACGTAAGATACATTTAAGCCTCCCTCTATAAGAATGGCTTCCTTTCAATTTTTTTTTATAGACAGCACCGCCATTCCAGCACATCCGTTGTCCAAAGCAAACATGACATCCGTAACTTGAGTTGGTCAGTGTGCAGTGGCAAACGCACTGATAAGTCCCTACAATGTAGATTGAAAACTCGGATTGTCTCCCTTAATGAAAATTTTCTGCACACGTTTTTCTAAACGCGTTATGATGCGAGTGACCCAAATCGAAATCAGCCGCAAGCAGCCTTATGCATGCTTGCAAGCGGAGCAACATGAATTTGCTTAAGCCCCACCTTGGTAGCTTTCCCTCTGCTTCAAAGTAAGCAGAGGCCGTGTACAATGGCGCGGTGCCTTCATGTTTCTATGCCGCAGACACGCTACCGCAGGAGCCGATGCCCTACTTGAAGCACATAGCCATTTAGGCGAAAGTCTCACATGCCTCGTGAAACACGAGGACACAGTGGGTGGTGCTGGCGTTTACACGAAGTGATGAGTCACTCTGACATCACCACATGACGTTCGCGCTTGGTCAGTGTGAACCGATGTCTCAGGGAGTGCTGCGAACACACGCTAGGTGCTTAAAAGTGTCTGCAAAAAGGCACGGATCAATAAAATCAACTGAGACGAATAAAGATGGTTTTTGCCTTCAAAACACCTATGACAAACGCAAGGAAACCGTGTAGTCTTTCATTCCGCTTTGCAGCATGGTGCCCAAACTTTTATTGTTAACATTTAGTGTGGTGGCTAGAACGTAATGTGACACGCTTGTCACAGGAAGCATTAGCTCGATACTCTGATGTGAGTGGGTAACGAAACCGTCAAATCCACTGTTGCCAAATGTTAACGATCGCCACGTGCGGAAGTCTACATCATTTATATGGGTTTAGCGCACCACGACAAGAACGCATAAAAGAGAGAGACGCACGCTTACACAGCGCTAACTTGGAACTCCGCAAGTTAGCGCAGTGTGTGTCTCTCTCTTATGTGTTCTTGTTGTGGTGCGCTATACCCGTATGAATGACGAACCCAAACCAACTATAGCGCGGCAGCATGCTTTAGGGAGTCTACAGATCTGGAAACGTTTACCTCGCACTAGAGCGACGAGCGTAGCGTAGAAGCCACAAGTCAACACGCACAGATCAGTGCCACGTATAGCCACAGACAACGTCGATTTGCCATTTGCTGAAGCTACTGCACGAAGCGAAAAAGTATTTGCGTAGCTATAATGACCCTGACTCGGGTGCTCAAAGCAGGCGAGGTTTCGTTCCGGAAGACGTTCCTTCCACATGGCATGTGTGTTGCTATTGACCAGGGCTACACTATTATTAAGAAAAAAAAAGGGGGGGGGGGGGTTCACACCAAAAAACTCTGAGCGAAACCCTTGAAACGTTTCGTTCCTGCACCATGCGCAAATAATGCCGGAACGAAGGATAAACTATTTATTTTGCAGAAGAAACTTAGTTTCTAGCTTTAAACTTCTCTAACGGGAGATCTCGTAGTTCTGCGATATATAGAGTGAGTTAAGTGTCTGCTCGTGGCGCGACGACACCAATGTACTCCACCCGACGACGCTGCACCTATTGAAAGCATACTCATTTTGCACTATGCTACACGCAATAACTCATGCGTATGATGATGATAGGGATATGGAGTCAGAACTATATACCTGCAATAAAGCCAAGCAGGAAGGCCTCTATGCAGATGGCCGCCAATGCTAGGAACAAGCGCTCATGCACATTAGAACAAAAGGTTGCAGTTGCGACTGGTTTTGCGAAAATGACATTTAACAACTCTTTTGGACTAACGGATCGTTGCAGAAAAAGAGTCCCAGAAGCACTATAGTATTTCCACGCACAGCGAAAGCGAAAGGATCACACAGCACACAATGGGACACGAAGCAGGCTGACGCGGCAAGCAGGCGAGGTCATGTCATTTCGGGGCACGCGTGTATTGGTGTGTAATCGATATCAACTACATTGTCACTTGGCGCAATCGCTTTGTCTTGTGAAGTGTAAAATAGCGTTCTGTGGTGATGCGACCGTGGCATATGACGTTTTCAAATCAGGCGGCGTCTTAAGTTTTAAGTAGGTGTCGCTTTTGGGCCCTGCGTACGTCCGTATATCTCACGCTCTCAATCAAATCCTCAGTACAGCCTTCAAACGAGGCTGGCAACGTGGAACCGGGGAAAAACAAACGAGCATGGCCCATAATAATATTAGTAACAGAAATAACCAACCAATAATTCCAATAATTCTCCTAAAATCGCTAGAAACACTTGGGAAACGTGCCGCTGCGACCCACGCCT